ACGGGTCCAAATTGAGATCCGTTCGTGTTTCTGGAATCAGACAGTCAAAACGAATTTAATGACATGTTCAAATAATTTTTCTACGAACTTTTTATTTTCCCCAACTCCGGTCCGGAACAGTAATTAATTAATTAAATTAATCAATTCTATTAGACCGGGTTGCAGGGCATTACACACGCTATTAATCACATGGCTTTTGTTTCTCACATTGAACCAACAACCGTTATGAACACCATTAATGATGAATATTGGTCTATAGCAATGCAAGAGGAGCTTAACTAATTCAAACATAATCATATTTGGAAATTGGTGCCTAGAGCTAATGATCATTCCATTATAGGCCCAAAATGGCTATTTCATAATAAACTCAACGAAAATGGAATAATCACTAGAAACAAAGCTAGGCTTGTAGCTAAAGGCTACAATCAAGGAGAAGGCATTTATTATGAGGAAACTTATTCACCGGTTGCACGTTTAGAAGCTATTCGTTTATTGCTTGCATTTGCATCTACGATGGATTTTAAACTTTATCAAATGGATGTCAAAAGTTTCTTCCTTAATGGTATCATTCAAGAGGAACTGTATGTCGAACAACCCCCGGGTTTTGAAGACTATGAGTTTCCCGAACATATCTTCAAACTCAAAAAGGCACTTTACGGTCTCAAACAAGTACCTCGTGCTTGGTATGAACGGTTAAGGAAATTATTTTGACCATGAGTTCAAACGGAGTCAAGTCGATACTACTCTTTTTATCAAGAATGATAACCAAGATATCCTTTTGGTTCAAGCTTAAGTAGATGATATCCTATTTGGTGCTACTAACGGGGTTTTATGCAGAGATTTTTCCGATATGATGCAAAGAAAGTTTGAGATGTCGATGATGGGAGAATTCAAATTCTTCCTTGGGCTACAAATTAAGCACTACAAAGAAGATACATTCGTGTGTTAAACGAAGTATTGCAGGGAATTGTTAAAGAGATTCGACGTTACCGAATCTAAATCCATTGACACTGTAACACCCTAAAACATACCCTAAAAGTTATATTGAATTATTAATTCAATTAAACAAATTGTTTAATTTAAAATATATTGTTGTTGGACTATGGGCCGAAATAAAATATGTATTGATATCCAATAAACATAATTGGGATAAATCTCATAGAGATAAATCCAATATGTTGACTACTTGTATGATCTTGATTGGGAACCAGAGTACAGACCCAAATTAAGAATAAATGAAGAATTTGTTTATGATATGAACTTTGAAATGATTTATTGAAATAAATCATGAAACTAAGTAATATGAATTAAATGAGAGAACCTTTTTGAATAAAGGTCAACTAAATTAACTTAGACTGTCAAAGCCAACCACCCAAAAATATGATGTCGAAAAAAGTGTTACAAATAAATATAAAAGTTATATCGCTGGATAGAGTTTAACTATCAGATCGTAATGGTGCACACGGAGTTCAATTCGGACAAAGTTGGACCAAAACGTGTACCCCGACTGGGACCAAAATTAGTCCCAATCAGGGACTTGCTTTTGGAATCGTGAATATCGCAGCCCTTCCCATTGAGACTCCAAAACAGGAACTACAAACATCACTAATTGGCTTCTTATCCATTTCTTCCTCTATATAAGACCACTCCTCCAACTCAATTCTTCACCATTTCATCTCGAATTTGTTCTGAGAGTTAGCTTTGAGTGTGAAGAACACAGTGGTGCTGTCATATTGGTGGGAGGTTGCCGAAGTGGAGAGCTATCGTCGTTGGAAGTTTATCCAGAAAATTCTCAAAACCTCTATTAAGCTTCGAGGTAAGCGCGTAGATATATCTAGTGTCTAGAATGTTCGTATAGATCGTTTCTACGTTCATAAACGGTCGTTTGGTTGAGTTTTGTGTTTGACATGCTTGAAGAACCAATAATCATAAACCATGAAATTGTTGTTAAAACCATGAATTAATGATACCAAAATGATATATGAACCTTGGAGAACATTTCTACGTAATGTAATTGAAGTTTAATAAGTAAACATGGAAATTTTGAAATTGGACCCGAACGAAGAAGAAGATCCAAAAACACAGTACATGGATCGATCCAGGGGGTTGGATCGATCCCCTGGGAGTAGTTTTCTCTAGTACGGATCGATCCAGAGGGCTAGATCGATCCCCCGAAAATACTTCCGAAAATGCTATTTTTGAGCTCTAAAATCCTATTTTTGATACCAATTAGTTATGAACAAAATAAAGATGAATTTTCACCATGAAAATGATGTATTTAACAAATAAAATGTTATGTGATGCATGACGGTAAGTTAGGGTGTTAACACTTGAAACTAGGCCGCTACTTGCTATTGGATGTTATGTTAATTGATGATTATGATGAATGATTATTATGGATGATTATGAATGATGAACATACTGATTAAAATGATTATTGTTAATGATTGAACCATGATTAAAATGAATACATTGATGATTATGGAATGATTTGTATTGTTAAGGATATCTAGAAGAACTCTAAGATATATCCATATTGATGTTGGTTTCTAATACTATCTAGAAGACCTCTAAGATAGATTAGAAATAGGCCTTGCGGGTATAATTATGAATATTCGGTGGTTTGGGTTAAAACGTACGTACGAGATCTACAAACCAAACTTGAGGATCACTCGTTTGGGGATACCACCCAATCCGGCAGTGAGCATTCTGTTGTTCGGTTTCTAGTTGAGCTTAAGAGAAGGTAAGTTTAAGATCTTGAAAACATCTTTTGAAAACTATATCTTAAACTAGGCCTAGCTCAAGGATTAGTTAGGAGTACCTTAAACTGGAATATAGTTTAAGAATATTAAACTAGAATTCGTTTAAGGGTTGAGAAATATTAAAGAGATTGGCCTTAGACTAAGAATAGTTTAAGGAAATTATTGAATATTGAATGATGAATATTGAGTGATGAATGTTGAATATGTTAGAAAATAGGCCCAACTCTAGAGGGGGGTGAATAGCGTTTAAAACAAAATCGCAGGAAATTAAAAACGAGAGCGATAAAGTAAAGAGCATAAGGAAGGAGCACACCAAATTTTATCCTAGTTCACCACAATGTGTGGCTAATCCAGCCTCCCGAGAGACTCTCTCGAGTTACACTAACTCCGTTAAGCTTAAAGGTGCTCAACAAACCAATACAACTTGAGAACTCGAGTCACACGAGCCTCAACGCCTTTGCTCGGAGATACCGCACTCCAAGAGTTCTCACGAAGGAACGAAAGACTTCCTTCCAGTTTACAACAAGGGAACAACCTCCCTTAAAGTGTATAGAAGCACTTAAACACTCAGAAATAAAACTCTCACAAAGAGTAGATATGAGTGAACTAGTAAACGCTCAAGAACACGACAATTTCTTCAAGAATTGGCTCTCAAATAGCTAAGAAAAATAGGAATGCTTATGCTATGAAAGAGTAATGAAATGTTTAAGAAATGTGTGTAAAATGAGAGGATTTGGGTGCCATTTTATAGCCCAAAATAGGATAAACTCGTTGCAAAGTTTCCAACAGGATCAGGATAAAATTTTCAGAGACACAGAGCAATAGTCAATTGTCAAAGCTTGATAATCAAGTATAGAAAGATTCCGTGTCCAAAAATATAAAATTCTATCCGTTGGAGGGCAACGGTAACACTGATAGTCGATTGTCAAGTTGTGTCACTCGACTATCAGGCCTCTCAGAAGTTTCTGGGTTTGAACAAGAAACTCGGATAATCGAGTGACAACATGTGTCAGTCGACTATTGGATGGTTCTGAACTTTGAGTTCAGAAACTGCAGTAGCCAATATTCGAATGTCATTAGCTGACAATCGATTTTCAGCTGGCTAAAACCATCCGGCGAGAAGCTTAACCCGAAAAGCCGAGGTCCAAAAACGAAGTGTTCCCAAAAGTAAAAATCAAGTATGAAAAACATTGTATATGGTATAAAATAGTGAAACCAAGACTTGTTTGATAAAAACCAAGTCTTCGAGGTCGTTTTTCACGTGTGTGCGGTTTTGACCAAGATACAAAAGTGGTTTTTATAAAATAATTGTTTGGGAACCTTTTAAACATGCCCAGAGGTAAAAACGAGGTTTAAAATATTGAAAACCACCGAGTTGGTTCGGACGCCGAAAACCGAATGCTGGACGACGATGCCGAACGCTAAACGCCGACCGAGGTGGTTTTTGGTCTGGGCAAGGACCAGGGTTTTTAAGACATTAAAACTTTATAAAAAAAAGTTTATTTTGATGCACAAAAAATGTTTTATGATTTTGTAAAATTATTTTGACTCTTTGAGAACCGAGACTTGAATTGATTGTCGGTTTTGATCACAATAAGACCGACTCGACTAATTCTTCAATTCTTGATGTTTGTCCTTGAGTCTTTTGGTCTTGTTCGATGCCATTCTTCACGCCTTAAGTTGTTCAACGAAAACTCTTCATATCCACGGCGGTTTGGCAATTATCAAAACCTGTCAGAAATGAACACGACTTTAGTTCAATGCAATAAAAAGTGTGTTCCAACAATTTCCCCCTTTTTGATAATGGCAAACAAGACGGGGATATGCATAGGGTTTTGAGCTTTTTGAAAAAAATTCCCCCTTAGTGAAAATTCCTCTTAAATATATGCATAGCCCTTATCTTCCCCCTTTTGCCATTTAACAAAAAGATTTAACAACAAAAAATCTATAAAGATTTTTATTTATTAAATAAGGGAAAAGGCGGAGTACACATAACGAAAGCAAATTTTAAAATGAAAAAAAATATGAAGAGAGAAGAGAAGAGCTAGAGCACTAGAAATCCGGGGAGAGATCATCGAGGAGTTGGTCTTCGTCGATGTCTTCCTCTTCCTCTTGTTCATCATCTTCTTCTTTGTCTTCTTCACCACCCACGTCATCTTTCCCGCTTGGTTCACCCCCTAAGTTTGACGGAGGAACGTAAGGGACCATTTGAGCATAAGGGCAGTTGACAAAGTCAAAATACCCGTGAAGCTCACGGCTCAAAATGTTGACGTTTTAGGCCGTTTGGGAGACATTGGTGTCTATTCGAGAAAGAGTGGCGGTCAAGGCGGCCATTTGCTCGGCTAGAGATGGGGTGTTTGAAGAAGTATCCGTTGGTTGGTGTCGTGGACGAGGCTGTCGAAATGGAGTTTCGTCGGTGCCTGGGTGGAAGGAGGATTCATCAATCTCCCAATGCTTTGTCCCTTTTATCTTCGGCCCAACGTCAGTCTTGATGTTATACTCATCAAGAATCGCCATGACGAGGAGGGCGTAGGGGAGCGGCCGATCGTCGGAGGTGGCGCTAAACATGTGAGTCATCACAAATTTACACCAGTTAATGTTGGCGTTGTGAATCATCGCATGAAGCGTTTTTGTGTCCTCTTGGGAGAGAGCGGTGTGATTGTACTTCCTTGGCTTGAGGATTCGTGTCAAAACATAAAATATGAATCGAAACATGGGATTCATGGAAGTAATCGTCGGGCGCCGCTGTTGGGGAGTGGGGGCGAAGTTTCGGATTCCCACTTCCTCCAAGAGGGTGGTTTCGTTGAACTGTGCCCCTCCCTCTCCGACGTAGAGACCGAGATCCTCTCCATTCCGACGAAGCCCGGTGAGTATTTGAATGTTCTCCTCATTCAAATAGATATCCACTCCGTTGACGTTTGAAATCAACGCTCCGTCCTCATCCTTTGTCAAATTCAAGTAGAAAGCTCGAACGAGAAAATGTTGATAGTGAACCTTTTTGATGTAGAGGAGGTCGAGGAAGTTTCCACGTTCGAGGATAATCCGTGCCTCTCGTGGAATGGAATCGTGAATGAAGCGGGCGGTGGAGAACCGGGGAGGGAGAATTTCCCGGTGCAGAAACTTCTCCGAGAACCGCGTCGCCTCTGCGCGGTCATTGAACCAAAGAAACGACCCATTGAGGTACTTGTGCGCCGGTGGTGGAGGAGGAGCCGAGGAGGAAGCGACGTTCTTTCCAGTGCGCGATCGTTTTCTTTGACCTCCTGCCATGTCAACAAGAGAGAGGAGAGAGCAAAGGAGATTTGCAGGAATTTTGGCTAAAAATTAAGAAAAGGATGATAGATGATGAATATATGATGAGAATGTGGTTTGAGTGAGTATAAAATGAATAGAGATCACCATTATATAGTTGAAGAGGCTTGAGATCCATTTGGAGAGTCAAAGGATAACTTTAATGCTATTCAAACGGTTCATAAACGGTCAATTTTTTGAAAAATTGTCGTTGTCAGTCGATTTACACAGCCTGTAACTCGACTATCTAAGACCTCAGATTTTCTGCTGAAGGATCTGCGAACTCTGTTAGTCGAGTGACATAAAGTTGTTACTCTGCTGACACTGGTTTGCTCCTGAAGTTTGAAAAGTTCAGCGGCCCCTGTTAGTCGAATATCAGAATTGTGATACTCGGTTGTTTGGGTTCTTAGCTCAATTGCCCCAAAACTTCTGCGTTCCCCCTGACTTTGACACCTGAACATGAATCAAAAATGAAACCTGCAAAAAAGAGTTAAAAACGTCTCTGACGTTCAAGTTAGTAATGACCAAAAATTAAATATTTAATGCACAAATTAGATCATCGTGGAGTCAAGAATTCCGAGTTCACTACGAATGCGGAAGAATGACTCTTTCTCTAAAGGTTTTGTGAAAATGTCGGCTAATTGGTTGTGTGTTTCAACGAACTCAATTTTGACATCACCTTTGAGAACATGATCTCTAATGAAATGATGCCTAATGGCAATATGTTTCGTCCTTGAGAGAAGAACCGGATTCTTCGTCAAGCTTATGGCGCTAGTATTATCACATCGAAGAGGAACGTGATCGATACTAAGGCCATAATCCACTAGTTGTTGTTTCATCCAAAGGATTTGAGCACAACAACTACCGGCGGCAACGTATTCCGCTTCGGTTGTGGACAACGCAACACTGACTTGCTTCTTACTAAACCATGAGACTAACGAGCTACCAAGCAAGTGACATGTCCCACTCGTGCTTTTACGGTCTAATCTACAACCGGCAAAGTCCGAGTCGGAATAGCCAAAAAGATGACAAGGAGATCCTTTGGGGTACCATAGTCCAACGTTCATTGTACCAACAAGATATTTCATTATCTGTTTCACCGCCGTTAAGTGCGATTCTTTCGGACAAGATTGATACCTTGCACATAAACAAACGCTAAACATGATATCGGGTCTACTAGCGGTAAGATAAAGAAAGGATCCGATCATACCTCGATACTTCTTTACGTCTACTTCCTTACCCTTTTCATCTTTGTCCAAGTGTTCGGAAGTGCTCATCGGGGTAGCCATTGCCTTGGAGCCATCCATTTCAAATCTTTTTAGGAGCTCCTTGCAATACTTTGATTGACAAATGAAGGTTCCTTCTCTCATTTATTTGACTTGTAAGCCCAAGAAGAAATTGAGTTCTCCCATCATGGACATCTCAAATTCGTTTGTCATCAAATTTGAAAATTCCTTGCACAAGGATTCGTTAGTAGCACCGAATATAATGTCATCCACGTAAACTTGTACCAAGAGGATGTTATTGTTTTTACTCTTGATAAAAAGCGTAGTGTCAACCTTCCCCCTTTTGAACCCGTTCTCCCAAAGAAATTTGCTCAAACGTTCATACCAAGCACGAGGTGCTTGTTTAAGACTGTAGAGTGCTTTCTTTAATTTATAGACATACTCCGGGTGTTCAAAATCCTCAAAGCCCGGGGGTTGATCAACATAAACTTCCTCTTGAATAAAACCATTGAGGAAGGCACTCTTAACATCCATTTGGTATAGTTTAAAATCCATAGATGACGCAAAAGCAAGTAATAAGCGAATAGCTTCTAAACGTGCTACCGGTGCATAAGTTTCTTCGAAATCAATGCCTTCTTCTTTATTGTAGCCTTTAGCTACAAGCCTAGCTTTGTTTCTAGTGATTGTCCCATTTTCATCAAGTTTGTTACGGAACACCCATTTCGTACCAGTTATGGTATGAACATCGGGTCTTGGCGCCAATTCCCAAACGTCATTTCATTTGAATTGGTTAAGCTCCTCTTGCATTGCCAAGGTCCAATGTTCATCATCAATTGCTTCCAAAATGGTTGTAGGTTCAATTTGAGAAACAAAAGCCATGTGACCTACGGTGTCCCTAAGAGAGCTACGAGTACTTACCTTTCGGTTGATGTCACCTATTACCTTGTCAAGAGGATGATTCTTTGACGTTCTCCATGCCCTTGGCATTGGCGTTTCTTCCTTTTGTGGTTGTTCCTAGTTCATAGGTGGCTCTTCTTCTTCGTCTTGGGCTTTCTTTGAGTTGTTTCCATCTTCATTGTCGTTGAGATAGATGTTCTCCAATGAATCTATAAGATCATCACAAGAAACCTTTCTCACCAAACAAGTATCATTTTCGGCAAAGACAACGTGAGGAGATTCCTCAATGGTTAAGGTGCGTTTGTTGAAGACTCTATAAGCCTTACTACGCAATGAATAACCAAGAAAAATTCCTTCGTCCGACTTTGCATCGAATTTACCCAAGTTATCTTTTCTGTTATTGTGAACAAAACATTTGCAACCAAAGACTCGAAGATGGGAGAGATTTGGCTTTCTTCCTTTGTATAGTTCATATGGGGTTTTCATGAGTATCGGTCTAATGATGGCTCGGTTTAACACCACTACAAGAAAAAGGACTTTTAGTTACGAACCAATTATGACGGGTCAAAGATACTCTCATTAAACGTTTTAGTTATACATTTTTTATGACGGGAAAAAATCTGTAGTTATAATGTGTTACTTTTAGTGACCAATTTTGTTTCCATTTCTTTTCATAATATTTAATACTCTTGTTATTCGGTTTAGTCGTTGTGCCCACGCCTTAGAGGGGGGGGTGAATAAGGCGTTTAAAATCTTTTCGGAGTTTGATAAAAACGGTGTTGGCAAATGCGGAAAGAATATATAAATGGTGGTCCCGAAGTGGTGAGATAGACTTTGTTACAAATTTAAAACTTTTTCGTTTCTTTTGAAAATGTGAAAATGAGTGTTAATCTAGAGTTCTTGTGAACTTTAGATTGTGTGCGGAAGCTGGTGGGTAGAGCGAGCAGTAATCAATATGGATGGGTTAGTTTTCACAGTTAATATAATTGCAAGTAAGAATAAAGATAAAAGAGAGAGACACGCAAACTTTAACGAGGTTCGAAGGTGGGGTAATCCTTCTATGTCCTCAAAATCCACTATGTAGTTGGTTGTTGAATAATGAACCAACAATTACACTTGTGTGAAGGTCACGCTTCTTCAACAACTGCAAGGTCCGAACAATAGGACTTGCAAGACCAACTTGTAAGAAAGTTGACCTACCCCCTTTCAATCAATAAGTTTGATCAAAAGTTGTATCCTTCAACGTGGTGTGGTACTTGAGGCAAGGAAACCTTCAAGTATTTTGACTATAGCTCTTTGGGAGGAGAAGTTTGCTTCTGGATAAGTTGTTAAGAAATCTCTCTTTATCAAGCTTTTTGGGCTAACTGTGAATGAGGTAGCCTCTTTGTGGTTATTCTTCTTATCGTTGATGAGTTGTTCTTTTTTTTTCCAGTCTTCCAAGGATGCTATTTATAGCTGGATTGGATAATCTATCCGTTGAATCAAAATAGACTTTCCGTTGCATTTGCTGGCTTTAATTTTGAATGAAGATAGTGATTTGAAGATTCCTCATTGGAATGGGTGTTTGGGCATACCCAATTGTTTAAGGAGGGTTTCCTTTTTCCATAGAATCCGTCTTCTAGCTTTTGTTCAAGAATTCTGGCCTGTAGCACTTTACTCTGTTTGTCTTCTAGTGCTTGTTTAGGAATTCTGGACAGGTTCTTCAATTTTTAGAGGTCCAGACTTTGTCTTCGAGTCATTTGTTCTTGAATCAGCATAATTATCTTCAATCTAGCCGTTGAAAATCAAGAGATTGATTTTTCCTTACCAACGGGTAGAATTTCTTCATTCAAGACATAGATAATTTTCCAAGTCTTTTCTCACTTGTCCGCTTTTTGAGAATTCCGGTCTTCCTTGAGGCATCCGGTTCTTAGCTGACAAATCCGGAAGAGTCATACTCAGTCTTCCAGATGAGAAAGAAGTCCATGCTAGTCTTCCGACTTAGCCTTCAGCGGGTTGTAGCGAGACATCCGGTTCTCATGTAGTCTTCCGGATAGGAGGATTTTCGTCTGCTTTGAGAAATCCTTACTTGTCTCTGACATTTCCGATCAAGATATCTAATTTCCAAATTACTGAATTTGATTAAGTCTTCAGGCATCAAACCGCTTAAAGAAATATCACGACTTTATTGGAAATCTCAAGAACTTGGTTTTAACAATATTTCTAAAAGGAAAAATTACATTGAATATTTGGGGAGACCTAAAATCCCTATTACATTCTAAATACATCATCATCAAAATCTATAATATTTTTCCCAACAATTTCCCCCTTTTTGATGATGACAAACAAGTGTTTAAGAGTTCCGGTTGCTGTACTGAGAACTAATTTTGTAACTTTCTTTTAGTTTCTCATAATATACAGCTTGTTAACAAAAACTCTTAAACAAATACAATTCAAATTACAATAATTCCTAAACCAAGTCTTGTCTTGAGATTTTGTGATCTCTTCCGCCATTGACCGTTTTCAGCTTCAGCAGATTCTGCTTGGCAGAGTGGTTGGCGTTGCGTTTGATAGATCTTTAATATCCAAAGTGGATATTTAAGATCTTGGAAGCAACACATCTCTCAAAATAAGAAGAAAGATAGAGAGAGTGTTGTTCCAGAGAAGGTGTATGGTGTAATCCTGAAAAATACGAGATTTTCACCACAGACCTTCTCTCCTGCCGAGATTCTCACCATAGACCTTGAAAGTCTTTTCTTCTCAATAGGCTTCTTCCATTGCCGTCTATGAGGGTGAGAAAGAAAAATTTCTCCATTGAGGATATTTTTCTTGGTGTGTTTCTTAGACAGTGAGTTTGAAGACTTTTCATATTGAAAGAGCTGTTTGTGATAGGAATGGGTAGAGAGAGGGGAGGTTCACGGGTTCCATTAATTGGGTAGATGGAACGGTGAGAGTAAAAGAGTTTCAACTTCCAAGAAGTTGAAAAGTGGAAGGAATATTTTACCAATTACCAATGAATTGAAACTGTTCCAATTTGAAAAGCAGTTTCGTTTGGTTTGAGAACCATAACTGTTTTAGTTTGGCTAAGCCCAAAAGAGTGGCCCAAAAAGAAAAGAAAGCTATGTACTAAAACAAATATGAATTTTATTTTTAAAAGAAAAGTGGTACTATTTTTCCAAAGTCCTGTACATTTTAAAAATCCTAAGGACCAGTACTTTTAGAGTTTGTTGGAAATGAATTAAGGACTGAAGCTTAGTTTAAGAAGGCAGATTTTGTAAAGTACCTGAATCGGAGATTTCCAATTTTAGTACCAAAACTGAGATATCCGTCTTCCATTGCTTAGAGCTCATCAATAATTCATTGCCAAAAACAATTGTTAGCCAAAAACTAGTTAAGTTCCCCCTGAATTACATTCCCCCTAAATGTATGCGCTAGGGATAAATCTCAAAATCATACTTGAATTAGGTATAATCAAGCATAGTAAGCATATTTAAGAGAAATATTAAGGCAATGTTTAAACAAATAAAGCAATGTTTAAAGAAGAAGGTGTTTTCATCGAAGCAAATTAATGTTTTCACATACTTTTCCCCCTGGTTTGATGAAAAAAGCCTTCAGTGCTTCTTGTGCTTTGAAGATTCGGCAATCTCCCTGATGCCTTGCATGTTTCCACATAGTTCTTTGATGCGCCTTATGTTGTTACGTCTCTCCTCTGTTTGATTTTCATTTGAGAAGTGAGCAGCAATTGTTCCTACAGCCTCTGTTCCATCCAATCCTGAGCTGGATAAGCGTTGTGTTGAGTTTTCCGGATTGCTTCTCTGAGCTTCAAGGACTAGATTAGTCAAGTTTAGATGCGTAGGAATGTAAGACTGAAGAGGAAGAAACTGACGTTACCCCTCGAGACCTTAGTTCCTACCTGACACAACAACTTCTTGGTGAAGGTAGAACGCTAAAGGTCTTAAACACCATTCTTCAGACTTATCAAACACACGAAGGAAGACTAACAGTTACTAATGGAAGTTCATCAGAAACCAATGAACTTGATTTGCTGAAGACACTGCCAGAGCTACTCTGATGTCCATTTGGAGAATGGACATTTGTTTTTGTAGACTGACTGTGACATTTGCTATTTGCTCTCTGATTTTGTTAACCTCCTTGAGTTGAAGATAACTGTCAGATGCATATGTCTCCATCGTGTTGCTCACAGTGTTACTCAATAGAGATAAGATCTCTAGAGTTTTATCCACTGATTTGCTTATCTCTCTGAGATTGGAGCAGTGTGTCTCTTCGGATTTCTCAGTCAGTTTGTTGTGCCTGGCTTCCATCTGCTCTATCTCTTGCCTAAAGGAGGCATGTTGAGATGCTAGAGCTGATTCAATCAGCCCTTGGACCTTCTTTGTCCAGATTTCTGGTACCTCATCCGGAAGAGTAGGAATGGGAGAGCTATGAAAATGGAAGTTGGTTACCTGATTAGAAGAGGGTGTTCTTTGGAAGAGTTGCATAGGAAGAGATTCAGCATCATCTTGTACATCTTCTTCATCATTGATCTTCAGAGTCCTTTCAGATTCTTCTTCTGCTTCCCCAAGTGTAAAATTTGATATATCCCTAGAGAGGGAGTCTCTTTCTTCAGCTTCATTCTGTTCTTCAAAAATGGCTACTGGAGATTCGGAGGCCTCCAGTTCTGCCATTTGAGTTTCCTTCTCAGCTTCTGCAGAACTTCTCTGGGCTTCTACAGCTTGCTCTTCTTGAGCTTCATTTGTTTCTGGAGTTTTGGACATCTCCAGATTTTCTGCTGATTTCTCTGGGATCTCAGTTTTAGTAGGATTGGTGATCTCACAAGGATTTGTGAGAATCTCTAAAGCTTCAGAATGGAGAAGTTGCTGGAGTTCTTCATTTGATCCTTCCTGGTTCTGTTTTTGTGGAGTAGAAATTGCAGCTTCAGGTAGAGCAGTTTCAAAGGCAGATGAGGTTTCCGGAAATATTTGGAAATCCTCAGCTGTTGTTACCAAGTTAGCCTGTGCTTCAGAAGTGAGAACCACTTGGTCTTCTGTGGTTTTTGAGAGGACTGGTTTGTATACTGCAGGATCCTCATCATCCACTTCGAATTCTGAAATTGGTGAGGTGACCATGTGTTCTAGATGCAAATCTTCATAGTTCCTTTGCCATACCCAGTCAACATCCAGGATTTGCTCACAGCAATAGTTGACTGGCAGACCTAAGCATTTCTTGATGATCTTCTCATTCTTCAGTTGCTGGTCCCAACTCAACAACTGTTCTGCTGAATTTCCAACTTTCCAAGCTCTCCAGTAAGAGTAGAGCTGCCAGAATTGATTCTCAGCGTCATCAATTTGAGGTTGTGAGGAAGTTGGAGAATTCTGAACTTGAGGAATTTCTTCTTCAAGTTGTTGAGGACTCCGGTTGTGGGCAGAGGTTTCCTCAGTTGTTTCCTTCTCCTTCAACTCATCCGGATTGACATATCCAGATGTTGAGGGAGAGGTGATTTTCCTCTTCTTTTTCCTTTGTAGTTCTCCTTGGGCAGAGAATTCTTCTTCTTCTTCAAGATTAATTGGAGCAAGGTTTTGTGGTGCTTCAGCACTGGGAGAGGGAGACACCACTTGCTTCCTCTTTACTGACTTGTTCAGACTCATGATAAGGACATTGTCTGAAGAGCTTTCCTCTACAGTTGTGCTAGCACCAGCTCTGTTTTCCCCTTTGGAAGACAGATAGTATAGCCAATATCTGGCTTTATACTTCTTTCCTTCAGAAGCAGCACCCAAGGACTCCAAGATATGTCCAATGTACAGACCTTGACAAAGGTATTTCTAGTTGGGTTTTCGCAGATTCTTTGAGATGGAATTGAAGAAATGAGCAGCCCAATTTACCTTAGACTTGGTAATGAGGGCATTGATGATGAAGGCCCTCTCTTGGGTGATGTCATCAGCATGTCCTCCACTTCCACATTCGAGGCATGCGATGACCAGTTCAAGGACTAGCTTGTAGTCGTTGTTCAGATTAGTTTTCTTCGCTGGGCCAGAGGGAGCTTGCCCAGAAATTCCAATAATGTTCCAATCCAGATTCTTGGCTGGAAGTCTCCCAATTTCAACTCCAGAATTGGGAAGGTGAAGCTTTTCTCCCAATTTCTTCTGCGAAAGCTTCACTTTTGTCCCTTCAACAGTGGAATTGATGACTTAAATCGTCCTTTGTGGGTCCTTCTTCGATTTGACAGTCTTGACCTTTCCATTCTTGTAGAATTCAAGAACTTCGTTCTCATACTTGAATCGAATCTCCTTATGAAGGAATTCGGAGAGCTCTTGAGCAGCAATCATCTCCAGATAGGATTGATAGAACGTTGGTGAGGAGCACTTGGCTTCCAACTTCTGGAAATGGATATTAGCGCCAACAATCTTCATTTTCTCAGAAATTTGAGTGAGAAGATCTGAAGAAATTAGGGTTCTTGAGAATTTTATCAGAAGGTTCTCGTGAAGAAGACGATGAAAAATTTGAGTGGGCTGAGTGGGCAGTTGAGGTCTGATTATAGTGACGATTGGGTTTAATTTGGGCAATTTATGCGGCTAGTGGCGATTGCGTTTTTAACTGTCCCCAAGGCCACGTCCCCACCCATCATTTTGACAGACGTGGAAAATGAACTGCCACGTGTATCGCACTCAGTCTAATTGAATTAGACCAATTTTGTGAAGCAAATCGGAAAACTTGGCTTCACTTAGTGGTTTGGTGAAGATATCCGCCAGTTGTTCTTCAGTTGAGATATACTCAATTTTGATATCTTTCTTTTCCACATGATCTCTGATCAAGTGATGCTTGACATCAATGTGCTTAGTGCGAGAATGATGCACTGGATTTTGTGAGATGGCTATAGCACTTTGATTGTCAAAAAAGATTGTCACTTCCTTTGTCTTGACTCCATAGTCTAGTAGTTGTTGCTTCAGCGACAGAATTTGAGCACAACAACTACCAGCAGCAATGTACTCTGCTTCTGCTGTTGATGTAGAAATGGAGTTTTGTTTCTTACTGAACCAAGAAACAAGATTTCCACCAATGAATTGACAAGTACCAGATGTACTTTTCCGGTCAACTTTGCATCCGGCAAAGTCAGAATCTGAGTATCCCACTAACTCAAATGAATTGCTCTTAGCATACCACAAACCCATGTTCTGAGTTCCTTTGAGGTATCTAAGAATTCTTTTAGCTGCTATCAAATGACTTTCCTTTGGCTTTGACTCGAATCTGGCACAAACACCTACTGCATATGAGATATCCGGACGGCTTGCAGTAAGGTAGAGTAGAGATCCAACAATTCCTCTGTAGAGAGTTTGATCTACTTCCTTTCCATCTACATCCATATCAAGCTTGGTGGATGTACTCATGGGGACAGAAACGGATGACTTCTGGTCAACTTTGAATTTCTTGATAAGATCCCTTGTGTACTTGGCTTGGTTGATGAGAGTCCCTTCACTTCTCTGTTTGATTTGAAGGCCAAG